CGACGTCAGCGACGGTGGCGACGGTACCGGTAGCAATGTCAATAGCAACAGCGTCGCTGCCAACGTCGCTGCTGCTGCTGTTGTGTGTGAGTGTGTGTGTGTGTGTGTGTTGAGTTTGTGATTTAAAAAGTGCATTTGATACCCCTGGCAATGGCAATGAATTCTGTCTTCACTAAAGCTCATTCCTTACGCGTGTGAGCATGTGTGTGTGTGCGTGTGAGGGTGTGCGTGTGCGTGTGAGTGTGTATGCTTTTGCAGCAGCTCACCCACTCACTTTCGCTCGCCTGCTTGTGTAGTGCCTGCTTGTGTGTGCTGTCATTTGCAGGCCGGTGGCACGCGCAGCTGGCTTTTGTTCGCCTTTTCAGTCGCAGTCCTCGGTCGCCAAGTACCGCCTGTCCGCTGACAAGGCCAAGAGTAACGTGACTTGACCAACACAGCTGGCCAGCTGGCCAGTTGGCCAACTATCGGCACTTCAGCAGCAATCTTGGGCTTTGTTTTGCCTCATTCACAGGCGGCACTTTGCAGCAATGAATCAGCTCCTTTCACTGCACAAATCAGTTTGTATAATTATTACTTAGATGCCGAATCATATTTAATATGAATAATACTAATAACAAGCAATAATAGTGGCAAAAATAATTATAAAATAATTTACATTTTTTTAACTCATCCTTTTTTTATTGCCTTAACTTTGCCTTCTTAGACTCATGTAAATTTAATGAGTTATTATCTTAATTATCTTAATACTTTTTATTTATTCAAATATTCTATTCACTCGCATTTTATGACAGCATCCTTTAAGCCATATAGCGTGGGCGGTATTTTATGTGCAAGCCGTTTTTATACGATCTTAATCTAAATTATTCGCCTAATAGCTTGAGCACCTGTTCTCTAATAAGATCGTCCATAGCCAATCCTTAACTGCCAAGGTGCATGAGATGGCGATCGTTCTATTATGGCTAGATATTTAACAATGTGAAGCAAGCTGAATCAAAATAGAACATGATTATTCTGATCGCTTGTTTGCCAAACATATCTTAGAACCTTTATAAAGAAAATATAACTAATCAGGCGCGATGAGAATATTCAATTCAAATCAATTTAAATGTTGCCTTGTCTACAAATTAAATTTACAAAATTGAGCATGGCTCCGAAAAGTATGCTGCATATATTTTCGTAATGTTTATTTGAAAATATCATTCAGTAGAGGCTTAAGGATTATCAATAAACAAAAAACATGCGCACAGTTTAAAAGTCATCGGCTCACCCAATGTTTTTTTAACAATACATTAAATTTGTATAGCCCCAAAGTGAAAAGCAAAAAAAAAAAAAAATAATCAGCAAATAAGTATTCATGCCTCAATAAAGGCGTGTAATCCGTGGACATCCATCAACAGTAGGTGAGCTGAACAAACAAATGCCAGCCATAAATTAATTCAAATAGTCTGATTTTCATTGCAATCAATAATTGATTGAGCTGTAATTCGAAACAATAATATATACACATTAATATATATTAAACTGTTTGTGGGTTTGATGATCGATGCGCAGTCCAGGCTCAAATTGATAGCGCTCTGAACTTTCACGCACAAATGTGAATAATAGGTGAAAAGCTTAGATCTATTTTACAGATCTCATTTCAATTAGATTAAGGCTTGTTTGAATTTTTCCAAAGTAAAGATTTATCAATATTTTGAAGACTTTTTGCAAAAATGTAAACCTTTTCAACTCTGTCACCAAGAAGCCATTCCATGGCGCTGCTTCCTATTGATTACGAAATCTTGCCTTTGCACTTCACAATTTCTGTAATTATGACTGAATGCTCTATATACTTCCATAAATAGAAACATTTATGGCGTATACGTGATACGGGTGTGTGTGGAAAAGCGGGAACTGGCAAAAGGCAAACAAATTTGCACTGATTGTAATGCGGGAGAGATTTATGGGTTTAGAGCGATGGGGGAGGGGGGCTTGGCGAATGTTTGATGACGGTTACATGCAATTCGCATGTATATGACAAATGACTTGCATTTAACTGAGCGTACAATAAAAACGACAACGCTGACAAAGTAACAAACAAAAAAAAAAACGAGAAATGTACAAAAAAATGTATTTATAATCATTGCACAATCAGAGCGATGGACTTACATCAGACAAGCGACCACAATTAAACCTGAGGGATAACACACACACACACACACACACACACACACACATATGAGTTGTGTGTTGTAAGTATTATGTTGTAATGGCAATTGTCAACGATTATTTTCATGTTGAACCTGTTGTATTTGTTGTTGTTCTTGACATATGCAATAGGGTCCATTTAACATTACACAATATTAACAATTAAATGATTTCTGCAAATACCCTAATGTGCGCTGGGCATGCCAGTTGTTTGCACTAAACATATATTTGTGACATTAGCATACATTTACGCAACCAATATCCGGGAAATTATAGAGTGCACAATAAGAATATACACTGTGGAATGTATATTTATATAACTCTTATACTCGTTCCTCGAATTTGGTTTCTGATCATAATTAAAACACACGGGCACACACACACTCAGACACTCACACACTCACACACCCACACTCATTCACACTATTGCAACGGAGCCTTGATTGTGAGGGTGCACAATTTAAGCATTCACCTCATCCAATTGCCAATTTTCTTCGCTTTCATCTGGTTTGCTTTTGCGGTCGATTTGGTGTCTATGTGTGACTCTGTGTGTGTGTGTGTGTGTGTGTGTGTGATTGTATCTGTGTGTATTGCTGCTGCTGAGCTAGGGACTGGGTACCTTTTTACAATTTATAACAGATCTTGTACAATTTCCTACTCTTGCTCTGGGGCCACGCACACATCCGCCTTAAAACAGCTTCGTAGCGTTGATTTTCTTGTTGTTGTTGTTGTTGTTGTTGTTGTTGCTGGGTTTGATTTCCTGTTTTTGGGGCAGCGCTTTTAGTTTGCCATTTAACTAACCGCAAGCACACATTCGTCACCTAAACTGAGGATTTGGCACACGGACTGGGGCGGGTTTGCCATTTGCCTGTTTGTCGATTTCTGTTGTTGCCACTTACAAATTGGCTTTTGGCCACAAAATGCCAACGTTTGGTCACAAACAGCAGCGACAGCAGCAGCAGCATCTGAGCGAAAACCCTAATAAGCCAAAATGTCAAACATTGTTACCAATATGCGAAAGTCCGAGAATTCTTTGGCTCGGTTTTCAGGCTCAACTGGGCAACTTTCGAATGCGGGGCACGTTGGCAAATGGCCGGCAGCAAAGTTTGACGAAAGCATCACTTCGACGAATTCATTTTTAATTTATATGTTAATCATGGCGTCACATAAATATGCCACCGACAGGCCAAGCCCGACAACAAATAGAACAAGAACAACTGTCCTCAGTTTGAATATGAAAATGGCATGCAAATAGTCACGGCCTTGGCTAAATGAATCGTCGAATGCAATTTAGCCATCTCATTGTCTACTTTGATTTCCGTTCTCTAATGAGCAACAACAACAACAACAACAGCAACGGCGACTACAGAAATCTCTGGCTCTGACGGACGCTGGCCTCTGCTTTGTGTACTTATCAATGGCTCTAACGGTGCGTATTCATAACTGAATGATAATCATTGAATCCGAAATATATTCATTCATCCAACAATCTTATTTACTCGCAAGCATCAAAGTCAATCGGCTGCTTCTGTTTGCGAGCAAACTTTGGCATCAATTCAATAGATTTCAATGCAATACTAAAATTACGCAGATATATATATATATATTTTTTTTTTAGTATCTAGTCACTCTTAACTAATTCCATTAGCAAAGGTTCAGTCATTTTTTTTTTCCTCTCAGGCTTCTTTGTATTTGCATAAATACATAATAATATTTGAAATGGGCGTGCGGCACAAATTACTTAAGGGCCGTATAAATTAACTTGTGGTACGAGTAAATGATGAAATCCTTGAGTCCATAAAGTGTATATACTCCTGATCAGCTTGCCTGTCTGTCTCTTTTTATAGCTAGTTCATCTTGCCGCACATATTATAAAACGCCTCTCTATGCGATTCTCATGAACTTAGCTAAGAGTTGCAGACGTTGGTGTTCTTTTATTGAAACGAAAATGTTCTTTTTGCTTCACAAACACGTTTTCTGCTCGCTCTTTCTCCCTCTCGCTTCCTCTCTCTCTCTCCCTCTGTCTCCCTCTCTCGATTACTCTTTTTCTATCTATTTTCTTTTACCATTACACTTCTTCAAACGACCTGGCGTCGCCACAAATTGAAAATGCACACTTTAACATTTTGTCAAGCAACATGGAATTTATTGTCACTCAAAACGTTGTGATAATTGAAGTTTTTGTTTCGTTGGAAATTGTTGAGCAGAAAGTGTTGTTGCGGTTAAACAGTGCATTTTGAGCACGAACCAGTTCCGAGAAGAGGTTGAACTTTTTTCGACTTGAAAGCGTATCAAAAATAAAATGAGTGTGTGATGAAAATAAATTTCAATAAGTCTGGCAGCAAATAGTAATATTTGCTCTACAAAATGTCTAAATAAAATGACCATAAATGTTGGTTAAGTATTCGAGATATTTAAATTTAATTTGCATTCTATTGACTTCGAGAGCTTGGGCGTGTGCGTCCTCCCGAGTGTGTGTGCACACAGGACTGAACGGGAGGCACACTGTTTGGACAGAATGGCAATGAAAAATAATTTCTTTTGATTGGACTTGAATTTATTTCGATTGCCCGCTGCTCTTGGGCTTACCTTTGGGCTTAAACGTCTAGCAGCAGCAGCTCGAGTCTGCTCTCGATTGTGTGTTTCGTCGCTTTTATTCTGTCTGTCTGGGCTTTACAAATATTCAAATGGGACATCAAACAAATTGAAGTTAGTGTAATTTTATTGTGGCATTTGGCCACAAATGCAATTTCGTTTCCTATTGAGTATGTTTCCATAGCTTATTTCTCAACTTTCATTATTTCTCATTGCAGGATGAAAAGAATCAGTTGCTCATCACGAACATTTGGCTTAAATTGGTAAGTTCTAAAGTCGTTTTAAACTTTAAGTATTAAACAATAAGTAAAGAAGCATTACTCAAATGCGAGCACAAATTATTCGACTTTTCTATGGCACACATGAGTCTTGGCCAAAGATTTGTTGCCTTTCGGGCAATAAATTTCCCTCGGCCTTAGGCTCAATGCTCTCGCACGCGCAACCACAGCGCACAGTGCAACAAATGAAATTGCCGCAATTTATCAAAAGCCAGCCCACAAAAAATACCGACAGACTGACAAAAAATGGCACTTGCCAAATTATATGAGGATGCTCACAGTTGAGTGGGAAAATCTAAAGAAATCACTTAATAGCTAAAAATGCGTAAATTGCGTAGATACCACAAATGCTGCCATCCATGGCATTTTCATTTTCATTTAGCCCCATTTCCATTTCCTTATTTTGTTGTTCTTTTATTTGCATTTCGATACCGCAGCTGTTCGAGCTCAAGAGCTGCTGGCTGAGCCCCTAAAAAATCCTTTGAATCCCGGCTTTTCAGTCAACCAGCTCCATTTAAATGCGTCGAATGCAAAGCTTGAGCCTGATCGACTTCTTCATTTTGGGCAGCAGAGCAATGCCTCGGCAAACTGTGTGGCATGGGACACAAACAGCTGCTGCTGCTGGCGAGTGCAGCTTGCCGCAACATGATTGGGGGCATTGCGGCTTATTTGGCAAATCGTGTGGCAACGTAATTAGCAATGGAAATGCTTGCAAGTTGCCGGCAAGGAATGCCTGAATTCGGAGAATTCCATTTATACATTTTCAATTGAACGGCAGCCATTATATAAGCATATATGTACATATGCTCAATATACTCCGTTCATAGAAGCTGAGCTCTGTTTAATTCACTTGACGGCATTTTCAGCATATTTCCAATAATTTCAATATGCCAAATTTCCCATTAAATGCAAATTTGAATACAATTTTACATATTTCATCAAATTGCGCATTCAATTCATTTTACCGGCCCGGATACGCCTTAAATGGTTTATTATGGTATAAAACAGTTCATATGAAAGCAGAATTTGATAAACAGAACTATATCGTATATAAACCAAATACACAAAATTCAATTTTGAAGAAAAACACTTCAAATGAATACTTCGAATTTCAATTTGTTTTGTTCATTGATTCGATTATCTCCTCGAACAATTCCTCGTTTATTTGATTCATATTTGCCTTATATTTTTAACTGAACATTCCAAATTATAATTGTTACATACTTAGATATATTTTCATATAAAGTCTACTAAAGTAATCGGAAGAAAAGAGTCTTGAATAATATTTTAAGATATCATACAAAATATTTGATTAAACAAACCATTTTTATGATGTTTTTTTAAAAAGGGTATTATTATATATTGGTGCAAATGTATGTAACAGGCAGAAGGAAGCATCTCCGACCCCATAAAGTATATATATTCTTGATCAGCATTAACAGCCGAGCCGATCTAGCCATGTCCGTCTGTCTGTCCGTCTGTCCGTATGTATGAACGCTAGGATCTCAGAACCTATTAGAGCTAGAACCTATTTTAGCTGTAGGTCTTCCTAGTCCCCGCGCAGATCGAGTTTGTTTCCGATATTTGATAACTTGGCCCGTTTCCAAGTAATCGATAAAATCGATATCGAAATCCTGTTTTTTGAGCAATTTTGGTAAATAATAAGAGCTAAAATCACCAAACTTGACATGTAGCTTCTAGAATAGTATATATATATATCAAGTATCTTTCATTTTATACCTATCGCAAGAAGAAGATGGTTCGGGGTATCCCCTAGTCGGGAGCTCCCGACTAGAACCTCTTACTTGTTTTTATTTTCAATTTGATTCGGTTCAGTTAAAAATGCAGCTAATTTTGATGCAACTTATCCGCTCAAAATAAATATCGGATAATAAAATAATAATTATCAGTAATAGATAACAATAATAATCACAATTATAATTGTAAGCTATTGTTTTCAAGACAAGTTTAAGACATTGCCACGGACATTCAGACCCAAGTTCAGAAAACTTTGTTGAAAACCATTCTGATTGCAATTTTAAAGAGATTGTCCCAATTAATAAGAGTTTGTAATTAATTTCGAAACTTTCTTGTACCTGCAATTAGCAGCAATTCGATTTGATCTGTTATCACATCAATTGATGTGCTCCGCCTGGGCCACGTGTCCAGTCGAAAGCAATCAACGTATATACATATACATATACATATATGAATGATTAATACTCATAATTATGCGATTGGTAAATGGATGGCAATTGCTTCTTATTTGATTAATCGTTGCGATCAAATGCAAACTCGACAATTTCTACACATTAGCAGTTGGCAACAAATCGATGTGCTAATCGCCTTAAGTGTCACAAAAGCAACAAATTTAATTACGATAAGCACCGGACAGCCCCACCAAATTGTAATGCCTCTGGCAATCACACGCTCCCTCCCCTGACGGCCCTCTATCCATAAACGCACACTTAACGATGATTGATGATTAACGCACCTCCATATTATTTTCTATATCCGATAAATGGCCGAGTGGCATGGGGTGAGCACCTCTTGTAGCTGCCATGGGTCATGGCTAATTGATATGTCGCTTATTAAAAACGCACACAACTCAACCACGAGCTCTAGATGAAAATTGAGCTGTTAGATATGAGTGCCACACATCGCATATAAAACCTGCTTGTTTTTCGAATATATAATTAATCACATTCATAATCAGATGCACATGCATTAAGCACGTATTTGCATATGCATTTTTGAGCAGATAATTTAATTATGCTAATTCAAAAAACAGCTACCTCGCCTGAATATCTCTATACGCCCTTGTTTTGTTCCTACTTATATTTGTCAATGCATTTTAATATTACTATACCCTTGTAGAAGATATTCCAATTTTAGCATGCAATAAAGTATATATATTCCAAATCAGCATCAACAGTCGAGTTTATATAGCCATGTTTATCTGTCTATTTCTATACGAACTAGTCTCTGAATTTAAAAACTATCGTCTTGAAACTTTGCATAGGTCCGTCTTTTTGTTGCAGGCATCGGGCCACTATATCATATAGCTGCCATAGGAACGATTTGTCATAAAGTTGGTTCTAGTATGGACAATCAGACTCGGCATTTATAAGTTTCTATGCTCTCCAAATATATGCAAAATCTCATCAACATCAGACGACTATACCATGTTTTCGAAAGATATTTTCTGCGGGCTCAGCATTTACGAGCTTCACTATTTTCACAAATGTATCTGCAAAAGGGAAATGCCTACAAGGGTATTAGATCTACGGCTTGCCGAAGATATCCTTACTTTCTCGTTTCTATCTATTTTCATATCCAATTTTTTTTCTTATAAATTTTGCAATGATTTTTCGTTTGAATTTTATTTTAAAAACTATAAATCCATTTTGTTTTATCATTTTGGTTTATCATTATAAAAAGGTGCATTAGAATATGCCCAGGTTTTTAATGTGAACTGCATTTTGACAGCGACACGAAACTCTATCAGGCATAAAAATCGAAATCCATTCGCTTATTAAAAAACAGTTTTCGCTGTAAAAATTAATGCTGAATTCGCATTTGCTTAATTTATTCGACGAATGGACTCTAATTAATTAAGTCGGGCGTCAGCGACAGAAATCCTTTTGTTCGCTCGAACTGTGACCTAGCCGGTTATAGCCCAGTCGGAACAAAAGGCGGCAGAACATCCATTTACTATTTTGAACATTAACATGTTTTATCTGTTGTTTATGTTTGTGTATTTCACAGGAATGGAACGACATGAATCTGCGCTGGAACTCCAGTGAATTTGGGGGTGTGCGCGATTTACGTATACCGCCCCATCGCTTGTGGAAACCGGACGTGCTCATGTACAATAGGTGAGTAAAAATGAGTGTCTATAAACACTATTCAATATTCACATTTCATTTGGAACGTATCTGCGTTCAATTACATATGTATATGTATGTACATCCATATGTACATATGGATTTTTTATGATATCAAGCTGAAAGTGTTGCCAGATGGCTTAATAAAATGAACAGAGGACTTTAATGAGGGTAGCCCCTGCAATTTGAGTGCACTCGATAACAATAATCGAACAGGTTTATTTGGTTGGAAAAGCTCGCTGTCAGTTTAATATCCACTGTGGCCATTTCAGAGCCCGGGCCAGGGCGAAAGGAAATGATATAATGACATCAATGATGACAAGCAGTAAAAATGATTGCCAGTCGATAAACAAGAAAAAGTTGATATCTTCCGATGCTGCTGCTTCTGCTTCTGCTGCTGCTTCTTTTTCTTGTTCACCTACTTCTCGTTTCGACACCTACTTTGTAGGTGAAGCCGGGGCTTATATGGAGATACTTATGATGACTTGCCACCTTGATAGCAGGCAGACAATTCAATTGGGCTTTACTTTGTCTTTCGGTTTTTATGGCCAATTCCCATGGCCCATACAATGGTTTATAATTCTGCAATAAAAACCCCTGCGGTTGCTGGCCATTCTTTTTGTTGTTTTTGTTAATGTTATTGGCTTTGTGGCTGTGGCTGTGGCTTTATTGCTTTATTCATATAATTTTATTTGCATTTGCAACGTTTTGATAATAACGAAATTGTGTGTTATTTCAAAAAAATCCTTTTCATGTTTATGAGCTGCTATTTGTTTGCCTACGTTTGCCATATTTTTTTACCCGTTTTTTCTTCCCTTTTGTTGTTATCAATTTTATTGTAATAGCGCTTCCTTTTTGTCCACACACACACACACACACACACAGAGAGAGAGAGAGAGAGAGAGACATACGAACCCTTTCCCCAATTGTATTTATGCATGTGATATTTATGTAAATATGTACAAATTTGTGAAAATTACGTTGCCCTCCGCTGACAACAGTTTAAGTCGCTTATTTTCGGCTATTTTTTTTTTTTGAAACAAAAATGTGGCAAATTTTACACGCTCTGTTGCTTAAATTAAATGACTGTAACTAAACGGAATAATTAGGTAGTATGTCATGTAAATAAAGTCGTGATAAAATCATTAACAAAAGTCAACAGACACTCGCTAGCCAAATGTTGTATTTTAATAAATGTTAATGTTAAATCGGTTCAGCTAGATTATTATTTTTCAATTTAACTTGCCTTTTCTATGCTTTTTGTGTTCTTTTTAAAATAATTATATTTATAATTTCACGATGGCTAACTTCTGGCCGAGAGCACTCGACTGAAGTATTTTTACTTGTTTAATTGCGGCTTTGTGTTTAATAGCTGTAATAATTATGGCGCGCTGTTAACTTTCAGGTACTTTCCGGGCACAAAGTTGAGCTTTACTTAAAAGAAAAAATAAATATTCAAAAATTGACTAGTTAGTCTCGGCTATGCATTTGATGTACAGCATCGACACTTGCGTGCCGCAGTTTTAAAGCAGCCGACAATTTGCTTAACTAAGGTAAAGGCAAAGTGCCGGCTCGATTATATAAATGCATGGCCCAGCGACATCAACTATGGCCAAGCAGCTGTGCGAATACTCTTTAAAATTGCACAAGTGTAGCATTTTAGTTTTATGGCAAATAAAGTAACGTACCCGGCTGGCTGGCCAGCATCGAGCAGCTGGCGGAACAGTAAACGCACAAATTTTAATGCGTATTTGGGCAAGTTTTATGACAAAGTAAATGACTTGCTGGAACAAAAGGCGAGCGGCATGAGGTACAATTAAGAGGCGGGTGGGGGGGGAGGCTTGCTCTTAAGGGGCGGCTCAATGCGAACTGTAACAGCAACAGCAACAGCAATAACAATGCCGGCAAAGGCTGTAAATTCCACCTACACCAACATTAACACACTCACAAACACACACACACACAAGTATTTTTTGATAGGTACTTGCATATTGGCAACGGCCAGGCCAGCTTTCTGTTGTTGCCCCTGTCTCAAGATGGCTGAGATTTTGATGATGTGACTACAATAGACGGCGGCATAATGAATCATAATTTAACTGTTGACATGACCAAGCAACCGAGAGGAAAGATGTGGGCTGCGGCGGGGTAGCGACTTTCTGAGTTGTTCGACCGAAGCCTAATGACAAAGACGAAAATATCAACGAATAATGCCATTCACAGCTGCGACAATTCATTCGTTGATACGCCAAAAGTGTTCCTCGCGAAACATTTGACTAAAATATGTTTTTGTTTTAGGAAATTTCGAAAGTCATAAACTAACAAAGGACCTCTTACTTTTGAGGCCAAGCTGTCAACTGAGCAGAGCAATTGCTGCTCGGCGTGCCTATATACCCGCTATAGTCGGCGGCAAAGTGGGGTATAATTAATAAATATTAAATAAGTTTGCCAGCGGTAAAAATTGAACCGTAAGAAATGAGCAAACGCCGCATTGCCTATAGATTAATCATTAATCAGTGCCATGCCGCCGCACACTTACCCAACACGCACACACACACGAGAGAGACACCCACAGCACGAGGGCTCGCACGACGCACGACGCGCGCAGCTGCCAGTGCAAAAATGATTTATGCGCAAAAGTATGCTACATAAATTTCCATATGCGGCGTTGCGGGAATCCGACTGTAAAAAAGGGTCTTATTAAATGCGTCAACGTGGCCAACGCGAAGCCGCTTTACTTCTAACACCAACTGCACACACGCACACACACACACACACACACACACACTCACACCTAAACATGTGTAAGAGATTTAAGTACCTTAGCCATGACTTATGCATTGCATATTTGCTTGCAGCGCGGACGAGGGCTTTGACGGCACCTATGCCACCAATGTGGTTGTGCGGAACAATGGCAGCTGCCTGTACGTGCCGCCCGGCATCTTCAAGTCGACGTGCAAAATCGACATTACCTGGTTCCCCTTCGACGATCAGCGCTGTGAGATGAAGTTCGGCTCCTGGACCTACGACGGTTTTCAGGTGAGTGCACCACAACCCCATGCATCATATGTAGATGCCTGCAACTGGCAGCACATAATAAATATGCTGTCAACTTTTGCATAAGACCTGCTACTTGCTCTTTAGATTTATCACAATTTAATTACTCAGCTGTCGCAGCGTTAGAAGTGCAACAATTAATATAAATCGAATTCATAAGTCAAAACAAGGCAAAAATTTCGACTTTGCAAAACTAATTGATTTGATGATGTACAAAAATGGTTGCTATATCGAGTCTATAAGCCGACGCAGCACTGTAAGTTGAAAGCAATAGGAGCATATATGGCCAGATATATATATATATATGTATATGTCGGAGGATGGTCTTCATTTTTGGGATCATCCGAGACTACCTTGTGAACCGAGCGCTTCCTTGGGCGTGACATCGTGTTGCATCAACGAGATTTTTTTCAAGACTAATTTCACAATGCCGACATTCCACTTCGCGTGTATACCACACACATACAGTGACACTCGCCTTCCAGGCGCAAGCACTATATTTCTCTCTCTCTAACTCACTGTCACGCCTAGGCTGCGCTGGACAGAGAACTCTGCCAGGCTCGCAATAATGGAAAGCACAAAGCTTTGCTGAAAAGATCAGTATAGAATGGAAGAAATAGAAAATAGACAAGCAACGCATTCTTGGAAAATTCATACAACCTTCACACTTTCATTCGTAATACTCAAAATCAAACGCCACGACATATATATATCATTTTAACTGAAAGACCTTATAAACTTCTCAGGTTCGAATTTGCCTTAAACAATTAAAGCCTACATATAAATTCATGGCAGTATATAATAGTTTCAATATTGTTCAGTAAATAATATTCACATTTACTTAACATTTCTTTTTACAACTTTGAATGAGAATCTGAAGGTTTGCAAATCTAACTGAAAGCTTTTGTTTGAATTGAAAACTACTTACTGCTGGAATTTCTGTTCATTGGCTTGGATGTTTAGTATTTGCCATTTCTATTGATTAAGCGGCGAATTAATTTAAATAAGTCGCCATCGATGCTAGCGTCAAGATGTCGGCTCAGAAATTAATTACAGCCGCTTGATTTATTTTGCTATTTACTTTCGATAAGAGCGCTCATTAATTATGTGCTGCTTCCCATTGCTAATTATACGATTTACCAGATATATACACATATACACATATATATATGTGTGTAGGCTAACACAAAGATATACATACACACATGTCCTGCGATATATGAAGAAGATATCTCTAAATCTAGTTGAATTTATGACAAATTGCATTTCCTGCTCTGTGTGGCTTATTTTCAATAGCAACACTTGTCAGATATCAGATACGATGAGTCCGCAAATTTATAAAATAAGCGCTGTTGTTAGCGTATACATTAATAAACTGACCATGGATGGCAAAGTGAAATGTGTAACTCCCAATTGAGGCTTCGTGAACCAAATATGAATGTATCTGAAAAGCATTCTTATTATATATTTAACAAAAGTATCAAATTAAACCAGGAAAAAAACTAGGCAATAAAATCCGAAACTATTTAAGCAACTAATTAAATGGCTTAGCTGGTTTTCTGCTTCATTTAATTATAGTTGAACAAATGTAATTTGGATTGGTGTCAATTTTTTAACACTTGGTTAATGGCAATCTTAATTTATGTAAATTACGCAATGTTATACGAGAATTCGGTTCGATTGGCTAATGATGGGAATGTCAAGTGGAAACTTTGTTGACAAATTAACAAACATTTATTTAAACAGTTCAATGAACAATTCGAATTACGCACCAAATGTGCATATGATGCACGCACAAATATCCTGTAGCATACTTATAGATAGATTATGGCTACAGTTCCTCTCAAACTGTAGCACACATATACACACATATATAATTAATCGATATGCAAGGGCTTTATCAAGCTCTTAAGCTGATTGAGTTATGGATTTCTAGTTACAACTAGGTCGACGATTAAATTGAAATTGAAATACTTTCTATTAATTACATTAAATATGGAATATTACTTGAAAGTAAAGTATATGTAGTACCTACACTAGCCCAGCGCGTGTTCGCTGGTAATAGATGGTAATACAAAAAAAAAAAGTAATTCTCTTCGATAATTGATGGTGCAATTGTGTAAATGTTGTTGGGCACTGATTAAACAATTACATTTTATCAGTTTGGGCGCAATTCGGGATTAAATTTGATCGAATTGGCAGCTGCACTGAATGTAACGCCAGCATTGCTAGTTTGTGATGTGCCAATAATTACATTTAATGGCTGCAATAATTAAACCCGACACTAACCAACAAAGGCACAAACACCCGCACACATGTATATACATATATATATATATATATATATATATATGCGACACACAGCTACAGGAACAAAGATGACCAGGCCATTCGCCACATACTCGCAAATGTAATAATGTACTACGTGTCCATGTGAGGTCTCCCGGCAGCTCCTTCTGTTCTGTTACACACACTCGCTCATAGGCAAACAATATGAGTGTGTGTGTGTGTGTGTTGGTGTGTGTGTGTGGTCTAGATCTGGATACACGCATATCTCATTCAATGCGCTCATCGCGCATAATTTGAAATACCGGATATCCGGCATTGCAATCCATGAATATTGAATGGGACAGCGCAAACAGCGCATTCCGAAACCGACCATTTGACCCTGCCGCCTCGTCCGAAAACTTGAAATATGCATTGATTTCCGCAACATCTAATGGTAATGAATACAATAGTTTCAATGCGAAAATGCTCGGGCCCGTAAGCTTGAGAACTGAAACCAGAATGCAGCCAAGCAGAGCAGAACCTCAGTTGATACTCTGATCATATACATTTCTTCATATTTGAATAAGTCAATTAGTTAATTGGCTTTCGTATATTAGCCAAAAGTCTTGCCAAAATTGCCAATTGATTGATTAATGTTGGCAAACAGAGCCACCTGCAGCATTGCTATGAATAATGATTTACGGTTCTGTTTCTAGGATTTGTAAGCAAACCAAAAATTATAGTTAGAACCAAATCAACTGTGATTTATTTATTTCGTGAGTTCAAGTCGTGAGTGCTTGACTAGCGGATACCCTGTACGCAGCTGCCAGTCGGGCTCAGATGCTGCTTCTTTCATCTGTTTCAAACTTTGATAAATTGATCATTTATTTATTGCCCGATCGTTAAAGCATTTGCGGGAGAGAAAACTATAATGTCAGATTAAATAGATCTGGGTATGCTTAGTGCAACAAAGTGTATATATCTTTATCTAATAGTCTTTTATAGAGAGAGAGGGAGAGAGAAAGAGAAAGAAAAAGGGGAGAAAGAGAGAGACAGACAGACACGGCGTCTCGGCTGTTGATATTATTTCAATTATGAATAATTAGTTTTTATATTATTTATTATCTTTAGAAATATTTGCAATGATTACAGGGTATATTGATATATAATAACGTATTTATTTTTATATGCATATATTTTACTTGCAATAATCATTTAAATGTTAGGGCTAGCGAAAAGTCTAAGAATACAAACATTGCAGTCGAATGCACAGCTTATAATAAGCTCATACAGACACACACACACACACACACACACACACATACAGCCACACGCAAATACGCAGCACAATCTAAATTGAAATAATTTGTTTATATAAGATCACACATTTGTTTAGTTAGCACAGCGAAGATATCTGAAAATTAATAAGCAATTTACTTAAAAGCTACAACAAAAAGTAAAAGTTCTCCAATGGGATCAGCTCAACAAGCAGATACCCTTTATGCAAGAGATATTTATAGAATAATTGATTATTTATTTAAATAATAAATGTGCATTCCTATTAAGTATTTGTGTGCAGGGTATAAAACAGCAACATGAAGTTTTTGAGTAGTAGCGAAAAGTCTAGTTTAAGCCACACACACGCGCAAAAATAGGAAAAGAACACATACGCCAATCCACACACACACACACAGACAAGTGCATATGTGTGTGCATGTGTGCACTATTTATATGCAAATATGCATGTGTATGGGTGTGTACTCTAATCAGCAAAATTTCATTGGCAGAAAAACTGGCAGCCAACTTGGCATGGCATGCCAAACTCAAGACACACACACACACACACACACACACACACACACACACGAGACACACACATGCATGTGCACACACGCACACACACACACACACAGAGACTCGTCACACACCATCGCACAGTGCATTAATTTGCATGGTAAGACGCGGACATGGGAAGGCCAACGAGCCAAAAGTTTGCTGCCAACTCAAAATCAGCGACTGAAAGAGATGAAGGCAGAGAGGGAGTAGGCGAGAGAGAGGGAGAGAGAGAGAGAGAGAGGGATAGAGATAGAGAAACAGGAAGGAAGAGTGGCGCTTTGGGTAAAGGCTGCCGCTGGGGAGCATTTTCTCATAACCGTCTACGCAACATTGTTGCCACCATTCTCTTAGCCTGGCAAATTTTTTGGCACACAAAAGTTGACACGTAAAATATTAAGATGAAAAAAAAAAGGTTCGTTTGCAACGCTTTTCAAAAGTCCGCGCACAGCCTCAGCTATGCGGTTCACACACTCGCACACACACGCACACACTCGCACACACACGCACACACATAGAAAACTGCATGCCTTCTGCGCCTCGTGTTTTAAACATGCCAAACTGCTGGGCTTCTTGGGGGGCCAGGATGCGTTCCGCTTCTTTGGCGCAGCGACGAACAAGAACAAGACGAAGACGGCAACAACAGCAGATTTGGCACTAACATGAGCTCTAAGCAGTCGTTAATATCTGCCAACAAGGACAACCCACACTCACATGTCCAGCTTCAAGCTAAAAACTTTTTCGCTCCATTTTTGTTCTTCCCCAGTTTAATGTTGGCACTTTATAGCTCTATAAGCTTATGCTTCTTCTTTGCTCTAGCTATCATTACAGAGACAAGAAACTGAAAACAATTGAAAATTTCAATTATTTGTACTCTTAAT